ATGGATGGATGGATGGATGGATGGATGGATGGGTTTTGGAAGGATGATAGTTGGGTGATTGGTTGAATAGACAATAGTTGGTTGGATGGATAAATGATGGTTGGTAAACTTCAGCTGCTACCACAGTAAACTTCAGCTGCTACCACAGTAAACTTCAGCTGCTACCACAGTAAACTTCAGCTGCTACCACAGTAAACTTCAGCTGCTACCACAGTAAACTTTAGCTGTTACCACAGTAAACTTCAGCTACTACCACAGTGAACTTCAGCTACTACCACAGTGAACTTAAGCTCATCATCTATAAAGCTCACTGAGTTTTAGCCATTGAGTGTTTCCGTCAGGATCAGGTTGATTTTGAACGTTTGTCATTTTCATTAGTTTTCAGTTGATGGTTCAGGAGATATTTTACTAACAGACTGAGTTGATTAATGCCAACCTTTTAACAAAGATTTTATTTGATCTGTTGACATTTAGAAAATGCATCAAGACAAGTTTTTAATTGTATTTTTTTGCTACTTTTATCTGTCAGCCAGCGTTTTCTAACCTGATACAAACAACTCCTCTTCCTCAGTTTGCTGAGGTGAGCACGGCGACAGCAGAGCGTCCTCCTCTGGTCCCCACACAGAACCTGTCCTCTGGGCCGAGACACCAGACTGTAAACAGGAAGCAGTCCTACAGGTGACCTCTGACCCTGAAACCAGATTTTAATAAGGTTTATTGTAAAATAACTTCAAACTAATAAAAAAGTAAAAMCACCTTCTTTCTGCTCGTGTTCCCTAAGAAACAGTCAGTGAGGTCGAACTGAAGAAACGAGGAAACTAGAAGGTTTTTAGTTCAATAATTTAAAATTAAAGGTCCTTAAAAACTGGACAGAACTATGTCAAGCTGAATTATATAAGATCCTCTGGTTCTGTGTCAAAAAGAGTAATTCAGCTATAAAGAGAATGTTTTTACTAAATCAGTTCAACCCTGACCCGGACCTGATCTGGACCCTACTCAGAGCAGTCTGTGTTAAATCAACTTTTAATAAAAYTAAACATTAAAGGTAACCTGGAACCTTTAAATCAGATTATCCCAGATACCCACTCCAAACCCTGAAACTTTAAAGTGATTAAAACCAACACTCTTTGGATGTTGTCCTCTCCACACATCCTGTTCCTGCAGACATGATCGGAGACGATCTGGACCTGAACACCACCAGAAAGATTTTTACATCCCTGAGAAATCAGGCCTCTTCTTTTCCACTAAAAATGTCAACATTTGGATTCTTTCCTTTTTTGGTCATTTGTTTAATTTAAATAAAATCTGCTCATTAAAAGGTCYGTTTAGTTTACACTTATTTATCCTGTTCTGTCATGGAGTTTATTTAGAACTGGAGCTCAGAAACCAGGTGACCAGGTGATCGGCAGGTGAAGCTAACAGCTAACGCTAAACGGTCCAGAGTCTGGATTTATCATCACTGTACATGTTGACAACAGAGCAGAGAAAAGACTGACGATGTAGAAATCATTAAAACTATTAATAATATTA